AAAATTTCACCATGTACTAAGGTTTTCTAGCTCTTTAGCTGCCTGAAGTCAATTTGTATCTAACATGCTTCCTTCTTTACGCAAAGCCGTATGCAAATGAGCTAAAATGTAAACAATGACGTCAGCATGAATCCGCCCATAGAAGTGCTCCATAAACAGCGTCTAAACCAACCTCCGAGCAGGTCTAAGTCGTTAGCGTTCTTTAAGCGGTGGTTAAACATGTTCTAAACACGATTACGGACGATCAGTGTTCAAATAACCGGTTTCCACAGTTTAAACATGGGTTAGACGGTGACTTTCATAAATGCTGTTTAAACTTCCTTCAAATAATTGGCCCTTAGTGTTTAAAAATGTAGTAGGTCATTTAATGTACATAAGTCGGTGTAAAAATAAAACAAAAAAATCAAGCGGTAGACCAAGACCGAGTTCTATACGATAAATATCACAAATATGATGTCAACACTTTGCTCTGATCCTTTGTTGTCTGAATGTATTGCTAATTGTATACAGTAATCTGTTTCACATTACCTTTACCTTCGTTTCAATTTATACAAATTATGCACATGTAATAAAAGCTACCTTCAGCGAATGGGTTCACATAAACTTTAGAGAAGAAAGAGACTGATATACTTACACTGCACATCAATGCTTGTCATCTTTGTTGCATTGCCACACTCATTACTGGCTTCACATTTGTATTCACCAGCTTCACTCCTGCTAATGTTTTTAACCTCCAACTTGTATTTACTAACACGTTCACCATTTGGTTTCATCCAATACACCGTTGGTGGGGGAACTCCAGATACATTACACACAAGAATCACATTCTCACCTTCAGTTATATTCTGACGTTGTGTTATTTGGATAATTGAAGAAGGAACTGTGAAATGGAGAGTGAAAATAAGGAAAGGTTTACATACATACAGCAGCTGGTCACTGGCTTGTAGCCAAACGTCATTCTAAACTTCACTCTAAGCGAACATTTCCCATTTTGCCGTTAAGTCTCAAAGTTCAGCTCTTAAAGGGAAAGTACGGTCTAGAAAAAGTTTACTTATATCAAAAGTTCCTTACTTCCATTGTACTAACTGGCTACTCCTTTGAGCTAAAAGCGGTTTAGTTGCGAACAATTACGTTCCAAAAATCGACATTTTGTTACAAGGATCGGAATTGTCCAGAAAGTTCGCCAAGGTCAATGTCACGCAATGTGTTGTTTCAAGAATTTTCTAGAACTGTGACTCATCAGTTTAAAAATAGAATTTGCTGTAATAGTTATAAATAGTTACTTTTGGAAACTTCTAGACTCTCTTCGGATGCTTATATAAGCAGCTCGCTAGTCAGGTTGTTGTTGTGATTTGGGACTTCGTTCCCTGTTTGTGATATACAAGTGATATTGTGTGACAAGTGACAAGTGAAGGGATTTTCCCGTTCGGATGTGATACTGACATTCTGCTGTCAAGTCCAGAGCTGTTTACCGTGGAGTGCGATACGTCGAAGGAAGTCTTCAGGAGATTTCGCCAAAGAGAAGGACAGTACTTTGCTTGTGGTCAGATAAGCGTAGATAAGTACATAGTTAATTTTAGTTGGATTGTTCCAAGAGTAGTCGCTAGCTCGTGTTAGGTTATCTCCCGTTGTTTACAGTTGAATAAATTGTGTTTCGTGGAAATAGCGAGGTTATTATCTTTCTGCCGGTAATCAGTTACCGTAACAATATCAAACACGTAAAAATTATCGAAATTTCACATGCGTGCTGTTACAGCTTTTTTCAGGGCTGGAAATCCTTGTAAAATAGCGCAGTTTGTATAACAAAGAGCACTATTATCATAGTTATTTCTTATCGTTTTATTATTATTAGTATTATTATCACTTATCTTGTTGAGCTCAAAGTCTGCCCAGCTTCCAAGCCCGTCTTTCTCGTATAGTTCTCAAACTTTTGCAANTACTGTAATAGTTATAAATAGTTACTATTGTAATGGTTATAAATAGTTACTTTTGGAAACTTCTAGACTCTCTTCGGATGCTTATATAAGCAGCTCGCTAGTCAGGTTGTTGTTGTGATTTGGGACTTCGTTCCCTGTTTGTGATCTACAAGCGATATTGTGTGACAAGTGACAAGTGAGGGGATTTTCCCTTTCGGATGTGAAACTGACATTCTGCTGTCAAGCCCAGAGCTGTTTACCGTGGAGTGCGATACGTCGAAGGAAGTCTTCAGGAGATTTCGCCAAAGAGAAGGACAGTACTTTGCTTGTGGTCAGATAAGCGTAGATAAGTACATAGTTAATTTTAGTTGGATTGTTCCAAGAGTAGTCGCTAGCTCGTGTTAGGTTATCTCCCGTTGTTTACCGTTGAATAAATTGTGTTTCGTGGAAATAGCGAGGTTATTATCTTTCTGCCGGTAATCAGTTACCGTGACAATTTTCAAATTGAAATCCGCCATCTTTGTTATGACGTAGCAATAGTCAAGCATGCTAATTATATCCCCGCTAAAGTGGATGTAAACAAGAAAAACAGCGGCGAGGGGGGCGCCACTCATTAAATTCTCGACTTCGGTTTTAATCTAGCCGAGAGGATGTAATACATCCACTTGTTTCAAACGAAACATGGCTCGTCTTCAGGGGAAGGAGATACCTCTGTTGGGGAGAGATGAGAGATGGTAAGGAAAATGAATTTGAAGAAGGAACGTCGACCCGCTCAGTCGCTCGCGTCTTGGAAATCGCAAGTCGCTCTCTTAGGGCAACTGTCAAGAGAAACCCACGGAAAACGAGAAAGTAACGTCATAAGAATTAAATGTACTAGGACACCGAATCGATTTGAAAAGCAAGGGTTTTTTCCTCAAACAAATCCAAGCTGTGGAATGGTAGTTATTTTGCTAAAGAAGACCGCAGTGCCCGCCACGGATTGATTTCACATTGCTACCTCGGAATGAGACTAACTATTTTTGCAGTCACAGGAACCCAGCTTCGTTGTATAACTGAACACGAGCCATTTGGAACAAAGAACAGCCCCAGCTGGCATGCGACAATTTAGAAATGATAGACTCGAAGATCATTCATCGTATGCGTAAACACTGACTTATTAATTGCCAAAATTAACGCAGACCAAGCCTGGCAGAAGTTGATTGTTACGAATGAAATTTTGTTTGATTCAGCATAATCCTTTAATTTGCAATGGTGTTTTTATCTTTATTGCTTAGAATTAGCTTCTATGCAGTATTTTTCATTCTAAAATGTTTGAAATGTCGCGACTTGTGAGATATAGAGCTTTGTGCCTTTCGACGCGCGCCAGAAAGTCGCCTCTGTTATACAACGTTTACATTAGTACTTCAACATAACTGAAGCTAAAATGAAACTTTAGATTTCTTTTGAAAGCATAAGCACTGCATAATTACGTCAAGTAGTTGGTTGGAAGTCAAATATTTTCAAATTATTTTTATCGCGTCCAATCGATACGAGAAAGCGAAATGCGGACGCCTGCCTGACGAAGGATAAGTTGTATTCGTCGCAAACGTGTCTGTCTTGATTACTTGCCAGCAATGTATTTTTGAACATCATCCCCATTATTCCCAGGCGAATGTGACTGGTGGGGAAAAGAAAATTTACTCAGTGGACTCATAACAGACTTAGGAAAGACAAGATATATTTATACGCTGCTTGGAAAAGCGCATGATGTTGAAAATCGGCTTTGATCAAGGGTGGCGACTGAGAATTTAATTACCACACACGGTGTACCACCCTTTTAAGCTTCAATTTATTCGTTTACAATAAAATGGTTTGAAAAAATTCATAGAATAAATAACTGATATTTGTCTTGAATACCGAAAAGGTAAGCATAGCTTTCAGTTGGAAGCGAAGGTCAACAAGGAAAACTCACATGCCTGTATATCTCGCTGGAAATCTTCGTTTTGGCAGTTCTGAGGTTTTGCAGGGTTTTTTCCGGCTAACTTTAATACTTCACTTTCTGGTAGCTTGTGGAGGCTTACACCTTTTCTTTTCGAATCTTAGTCTGTATTTTCACATTCAACCACACGACCGTTCACCTCATTTCAACTATTAGAAGTATTATAAATTGTTTTTAAAAAAAAAAAGTTAAACATGTCAACAAGGACAAAGCGCCCAACAAGTTTGACTATTGGTACTTCACAATGACGTAATATCCAAGATGGCGTTTTACTAACCACGAAAGTGGTAAAAATAGGCAACTTCGAAACGCTCTTGTCGCTAATACAAAGCAAACTGGACAAAATGGCAGTTATTTTCGAACTCCCAAGGAAAAAGTCTTCCAATTGAGATAAACTTTTTCTAGACCGTACTTTCCCTTTAACACTACATGTACGTGTCGAAGTTTCACAACTGAGTGTACATTGAAGCACACTCATGAAAATGCCGTTTTGCATGTATAGTTTTTTTAAAATTAAGCTATTTTGCTTACCATTCACAGTGACAGTAACACTCATGCTGTATTCTGATCCTAAAGAGTTGTTGGCCACACATTTATAGACAAACTCTCCTTCGTTTTCCAAAGACTTGCTCCACATTCCTGTAGCACTTGTGTTAAAAATGGCAATTTCGTTCTCAAAAAGCTGGTATGATGTCACTGCTGGATGAGCATCCGCTGAACAGTTAAAGCTGATGGCTTTTCCTTTACACGCTGTGTTATTCATAGCTGAACTCATTACCAGGACATTCTCTGGTTTGACTAAGGAAGAAAGTAACAATTAATGAATACGTGTGGCACGTACAAAGCCCTCCCCTTACCCTGGCTGATGAAACGGTTACACTTGTCCATTACTGACGTTTCCTTCAGCACTGTCCAAACCTTTTAGGCTAAATATTTCTATCATAGCCACATGTACCTGAGGCTTATAAACCTTTGAACTAGTTTGTGTTGTCAAGCTCTCTTACCATTAGCTTAGTTTTTGGATAGCTTACGGAGCCTTTTCATTCTACCCAATTATTCCTGAACATCTTTTCTCACAATTGTTATCAGAGCAACGTTATAACCTCTTCGGAAACCCTTCATTTTAGCTTACTGTGCCTACATCTCAAATATGTGTCCCTTTTCTCATTGTCTGATTGAAATCAGCAAATTACTCTTCACCCATTTTTAAGGAATAGAAAAAAAAGTTTCAGTGATGCTTCATATAAACAAGTCTCTCCATGGAAAAAAGTGAAATAGAAACATAGCCAACTGATATAATGTGTTAAGACTACACCTTCAGACTACACCTTCACATAATGTGTTAAGGACATACAAGAAGCAACACGTAACACGGGACAACTTTTACATGTACTTACACCGCACATCAATTCTTGTCACATCTGCTGCATTGCCACATTCATTACTGGCTTCACACTTGTATTCACCAGCTTGACCCCGGCTAACGTTTTTAACTTCCAACTTGTAGTTACTAACACGTTCACCATTAGGTGTCACCCAAGACACCATTGGTGGGGGCACTCCAGATACATTACAAATGAGAGTCACATTGTCACCTTCAGTTACACTCTGATGTTGTGTTATTTGGATAATTGAGGAAGGTACTGTAAAATGAAGAGTGAAATTGAGGAATGGTTTAAATACATATGGCAGCTGGTCACTGGCTTGTAGCCAAATATCATTCTAAACATCATTCTAAGTGAAGATTCCCCATACAGCTGTTGAGTCTCAATGTTAGCTCTTCAATGTAAAAGTTTTTGCAATTGAGTGTACGTAAAAGTACACTCATGAAAATGCCATGTTTGCATGTATATTATTTTTATCAAAATTTAGGCTATTTTATTTACCATCCACAGTAACAGCAACATTCATGCTGTATGCTGATCCTAGAGAGTTGTTGGCAACACATTTGTAGACAAACACTCCTTCCTTTTCCAAAGTCTTGCTCCACATTCCTGCAGAATTTGTTTGTAAAATGGCAGTTTCGTTCTCGAACAGCTGGTATGTCACTGCTGGATTAGCATCAGCTGAGCAGTTAAAGCTGATAACTTCTCCCTTACATGCTGTGTTATTCCTGGCAGAACTCGTTAACTGGACATTGTCTGGTTCGTCTGAGGAAGAAAGAGACAATTTATAAGACAATAGTATAACTTCTTTGGCCTTTGTTAGTTGCATGTAGATATTTACAGTAGCCAAGGAGTCACCTTCTTTACCCCTGGCTGATGGAATGCTAACAATTGTGTGTCACTGACGTTTTTCTCAGCACTGTTCCATTGCTCGTATGTTAAATCTTAATTTTATAGCTTCAAATATTTGAGGCAGAGTAAACTTTGAGCCAGTTTAAAAGGCGCTTAAGACTTGTGTCATTTGCTCAGCTTATAGGTTTCTGGGCCACAAATGGCTTTTCAGTTTGCCCAATTGTTTGTGAACAATTGTGACTTTTTTTTTGCCTATGTAACCACAGTAATGTTATAGAGTTTGGAAAACCCTTAATTTTAGCTTACTGTGACTTAACAACCCAGGTATGAGTTCCTTTTTCATTGATCAATTGCAATAAGCAAAAATTAACATTCACCCACTTATAAGAAATTTTTCAGCAATGCATTCGAGTCTTGCACATACACAAGTGTATCCAACAATAAAACGACACTAAGGCAAGTGGTAATACTAAGAGAGAAATACAAGTTAGTAAAGGATAATATTTACTTACACTGCACATTAATAATTGCTGTCTCTATTGCATTTCCACAGTCATTACTGGCTTCACATTTATATTCACCAGCTTGATTCCTGCTAATGTTTGTAACTACCAACACTTTTTCAGCAGTACTATGACCATGAGGCGTCGTCCAAGTCACCATTGGCAGAGGGATTCCAGATACATTACAAGTAAGGGTCACATTTTTTCCTTCAGTTACATTTTGATCAACAATTTCTTCTATGGATGAACGTACTAAAATATAAAATACAAAAAAATTTACATCCAGCTTTTACAGTGTACTTCTCGAGTTGCAGTATTCAACCACACTGTAGTTTGGAGGGGCAATGGTTCAATTCAAAATCTTATGAAATATAGCCCATAATACAAACTGTGACTTCTCACAACAATTTCAAGTACAAATCTTGTGAGTTCAGGCAAACTGGTTGAAGGATACATTTGCATGTTCAATTTACTAATTTGTGTTCAGCTTTAAGGCACAAAATGAGAAGATGAGAACAGAGACACAGTTATGTTTACTTACTAATAATAATTATTAACATCCTTTGTGTACTAGAATATGCACACTTGTTTACTTGGTTAGCTGAACATAGGAGAGAGCATACAATGACATGATACACGTTGATTGATAAAAGGGAAAGTTTCAGATGAAACTGTGGTGCTGTGTGGGTGGAGGGTATTACAAGGTACTTTTGCTTTATCAATTGGGTTGATAAAATTAATAATGTAAATTCACCTCTGTAAAGAGTTTTTAGAGCTGACATTTTGAGCATAAGCCATTCATCAGAGTAAATGTCAGATGTGTACTTAGGGAAAGTGCTCTCTTTTTAGATATCATATTCAACATCATTCTCCAGGAATAGGCCACTTAACAGTTGCAGGGCTCAACACTAACTTTTCCACATACTAGCCAGGTGACTAGTGACAACTTACACATTACAACAATTTCAGTTTTTTAACTAGCCAAACTGGCTACTGGAAATCAAAAGCCACAGGTCAAAACTGAATTTCTACTTGTTTTTGGCTAGTTGGCTAACATTAGTGTTGAGCCCTGAGTTGCATGCTTCTAAAGTTGCCAAACCTTTGATTCAGAGTGAGGCAAAATATGACCTCGTTGTGATAGAGACCAGTATCTAGTTACAGAAGTACGATGACAAAGTAATTCACATTTGAAGAGTAGCAACATTTGTATCATAACATTAGGTCACATTTAGCCTCACTCCTGTTCAAAGACTTGGTAACCATGCAAGCAACTGTAAAATGGTATATTCCATATTATTAAAAACTGGATAATTGGATAATGCAATTCAAGACTTTATTGGCTTAGCCATTATGGTATATGAGCCAATATACCATAATCTACAAATATGGTAAGCGTATGCGTCAGCTTAAAATTAAAAGGAGCTAAAAAACTTAAGATTTGGTGAGATTTGTGTAATATCTTGGGGGCGTTTTTAATAAAACAATTATTCCACTCGCGCTTGTTGGATATGAGATGATTATAGCCAACTCGGCGCTACGCGCCAGCAACCG